GCCTGTGGTGGAGTCGTAGGTCGTGAGGTGGTATCCGGTGGTGTGGGTTGTGGATGTGGTCGATCGCCCGGTCCAGGAAGTAGCCTCAAAGGGGTAGCCACCGAAGAATCCTGGTCAGAAGGAGCATGAACGGAGGCAGGAGGCGAAACAGGTGTGCTGTGTGAAGTGGCAGGAGGAGCTGTTGTTTGGTCCGCCACTTGCCGGTATGGCTCCCGTGGTCTGTCGCGATGCTGGCTAGAATGACCAGATCTGGGGCGGTTGGGTGTGCGACGATGCTCCTGGGGCCCTCTTTGGTGTGTGCGAGAGCGGCGTCGCCGAGAATGTGAGCGGCGACTGCGACGGTCGTCCTGTCGGGAGCGTGATGCTGCATGAGAGCGGTGTCGATATCCCCGACGGCGGCGAGAGTAGGCAGAGCGGCTCCTGGGAGAACGACGCCGATCATGGTGTCGTGCAAGTGGTGAACGTGTCGTTCGTGAAGTGTGTCTGGGACGTGGTCGTGGTCCATATGGATTGGGGGGCTGTGGGCCCGTGGCACGTAGTTGAGACGGTGGAAAACTTGGGAGTGGTGCTGGGACGCGTGGTGGTGGGAAGAATGAGCCGGAAAGATGTGCGGGTGGAGTGGGAGGAAAAGGTGGATTGGACCGTGAGCGAGTGAAAGGAGGATCAGGATTCGAGGGTGGGGCGGAAGTGGGAATGTTGTGTTGAGACGAGTCGCCCGCAGTGGGGTCGGAGTGTGGTGGCGGATCTGGAACGCTGCGTGCGATCTCAGTGCCGGGTGGTGGGTTGATGGATGGTAGGGGAGTACCCTCGTCATCACCGTAATCAGGTTCTTCCATCTGAGGTCGGGTGTCCCTGGAGCGAGAGCTGCGTCGAAGATCACGTCGTGAATGAGGGCGAGTGGAGTCCAGAGAAGAACCAGAGCTCACCATGAGGTCGGAAAACGCCCGGAATTAAAAACACTGTCAGTGGCAAAGGACATAACATCCCTAAAGGTGAGAGAAGAGGATTGACAGTCATCATGTAAATGCTTGTAACTCGGTCTGGAGCCAAACAGGAAGAGAAGGAAAGGAAATGCGAACAAGCAATACTAGAAGTGAAAGAAGTAAAACAAGAAGTGAAAGAAGTGCAACTGGCGCATAGTGGAAGACATTCCTTTTTGGCTGCCTGGCAAGAAGTGAGGTGAAACTGAGAACTAAGATCTGGTCGCGCGAGGGCGAGAGCGAGATCTCGAGCGTATGTGAAGACGATGTCGTGGTAGATGGCGAGAAGGCAGAGGACTGGGAGAAATAGGAATCCGGGTAGTGGTGTTGGGAGTCCTGGTAGTTCGCGATGAGGTCGTAGTAGGATGTGGCGTATCAGATCGAGTAGACAGGGATGCACGATCGCCAAAGTCAGTGCGGCCTTCAAGTTCGTCTTCAAGTTGTTCCGGGCTCTGTTGAATAATATGAAGGAGGCCCATGGCGGTCAGGAGCTCGTGGGTGTAATGGACAGCGGTGTGGTTGAGGCGAAGGGCGAGAAGGAGTGTGTTGTCCAAACCTTCAAGGTGAGCTCGAAGTTGTGGGTGGGTGACCCGAGACATAAATGGAATCGTACGAATGCTGAGCGGTATATGGAGGAGGGCGTGTACCTGGGCCAAGAGGACATGTACGAGTAGAAGTTCACGATGAAGCACGAGGTGGGAGACCGTGGATCGGTGCCAAACCACATGTCGAAGCCATGGCAGAAAGGCAATGAAACCAAAGGATCGAGACGAGTCGTCGCTAGTGAGCCAAAGATAACATAGGAAAGAGATAGAAACAAAGAGATAGAAATAAAGTCGGCGATGAAAATGAGTGATCAATCCAAAACAGAAAACAGAAAGCAGAGAGCAAGAAGAACTTTTGCTGCAGAAAAAGGTTCGATTGGTGAGAAATCGGCTAAAGTCGGAAGCGTCGAGGAGGAGAACGTGAACGAGAGGGTGAGTGAGAACTTGGCCTCCTCGTCAAGGTCGAAGGTGGAGCTGAATGAGTCAGAGAAGAAGGAGGAGCGTGAGGAGGAGAGGGAGCCGTGGTCGTAGTCCTCGTCGTCGTCCCAGGTGGAGAAGGAGGACACGGATAGAGGTGCAGGATGGGTCGAGGTGAAGAGAGGGATGTAGGAGAGGAGGTCGAATGGCCAGTAGGATGTGGAAGTCCCAAAGTGGAGCAGAGTTCATCGGTGTAGACCAGTGTAGTGCAGGTAGATCGTCGAATCTGTTCAATGCTGGTCTCCAGTGCACGAAGGGTAGCTCTGAGACGAGGGCAGGTAATCGTGCCCACAATGGAGGGAGTGACTGAATCCAAAGGTCCACGTAAAATCAAGAGAATCAAATGTAACGACGAATGTATGTGAAGAAGTTCACGATGAAGTACCTCATGAGCAGCAGCAGGTAGTCCAGCGATGGAAGCCAATCCCGTAAGTCCGGTCGGTGTCGTCGTAGATGGCATCGACATGGCGGCAGAAGGAATCGAAGGGACGAGGTGTAGAGCGTAGGGAAGCTGAAAGCCACAGGAAATAAGTGTGTATAGTTGAGAGGTAGTGTCTCAAAGTTCAGGAAAAAGGTTGGTAACACCAAAGAAGGCCATTTTCTCAAGTGATCGGAAGAATGAACGAAAGAGGTACCTAGAGATTCCTAGGGTTCAAACGAGGGTGAGACCGAGAACGAGACGGTGCTGTACTGGATCGGTTAATCACAGGTCTACGTGGAGTATGTATCATAGGAGGTCTCGGTGATGCCGTCGGAAGGGATCTGGTAGATGTCATAGTTCGAGTCGTAGTTGAACCCAGAGGAGTAGGAAAAGACGGAAGGCGGGGGTCAGGGAAGGTCGAGCATCCTCGTAGTTCGGCATCCACTTGAGTGGTGTCGCAATTCAAGGCATGCATCATCCCAAAAGTAGTGACCCCATTGTGGATCGCCTGAGTCGCCTGTCGAATAGCTGAGAACAGGCCTCGAATCTGAAGCTGAATATGTGGTGAAGTAATGTAGTCCATGAACGAAGGTTGGAGGATAGCAAAGCGAGTGCGAAGAAGGGAGGTAGCAAGAATCAATAGACCATGTAAATGAAGTATCTCTCGATGTAGGATCGTCTGGGCTCGCATCGTGATGCCGTCCACAGGAGTGAGACCAGTTGGAGAAGGGAACATGGCGAGAGGAGGAGGATCAACTGAAAAACTAAGGCTCCAACAGGTCCCAATGGACCTTGAACAAACTTCGGCCACTGCGGCCACGTACGCCGTGCCAACGTGGCTGGCTGCTTTGACCGCTGCGGTCACGTAAAGGCATGAGCCAACTTGGAATTCCAAAGATGGGGCAAAATCATCGGACGTACGGCCTAGGCCACCTTCGCCCGCTGTGGGCACGTACGTTTCCAGAGCAAGGGAAACAGCGACGTACACCCGTTCGACGGGTCCACGGGAGGCACTCTGCGGGCTCATCCCGGGTTGGCACGAAGCCAAACACACTCATGGATATGCGTACTGACTTGATAGCGGTGCCACACGCCGGCCTAGGGTTCCAATTCCTAAGGGTACAGGTAAGGAAACCTAAAAGGAAGAGGAGGTCCATCCAGCGGAGGTCCCAAGGTTTCAGGTGGCCAGCAACTCCAAAAGAAATCACCGATCGAGCGGACGACAAGGTGACGACGAACTGCAGAAAAGCCAAGTTCATCGCCGCTGCAGTAGCCCTTTACTGAAGGAAACAACGAAGTAGACAGCTTGTGCTCTACGTAGGTTTCTCTCTCGGCAGGTACGTCTGGCTGATCAGGCCAGATATCCGCATGTACTGTGGCCGCTTCGTTGGACCATCGCGCACAGTACATGGATGGTCCCCCTGCAATAAAACAATTGCAAAAGCATCCCTATGACTCCAAGGGTGACACACACACACACAATGGGAGTGTGGTGCAAATTGCGGAGAATAAACGGCCCTCCGCGGAAGCTGTGCAGGGAATCCAAACCAGCTTTGAGAAGCAAAAGCCTTCTGTGGTTCAATAATGGCAGGTTCCAACAAAGCAAAGCAAATGACATGCCCCAAAACACATGTATATACATGCCTGTCAGTCTGTCCCTTTTGTCTTGGTGTGGCGCTCTCTCACAAGCACACTTGAACACTGATGTTGCATCCTCCTGGATGGCTGCACGCAGCAGAATTTGCTTTATCTTCCTCACACTGGAAGTTGGAAAAACGCGCCTGACTCGTCCGTGGCAAACGCACTCCTGCAACCCATTCAACGCTTCCATTGCAGAGTGACAATTCACAATGTTGACTTCCCAGGAGCAACAAAGGCCTCCCACTGGTTGGCACAGAAATTCCAGCCACCAGCTGTTGAAGAGTTGTCAGCCTTGCTCAAAAGACCGAAACCAACTGCGCCGAGCCCCTAATTGCAAAACAACTGTTCATCTTTGCCAAGATGCCAGGAGATCAAGGATCCTTGAATTGAAAGCTGCTTGAGTGGAGATGGGGAGGTGCAGCACATCCGAAAACGAACAGTACATTGCACATGTGCTGACTTGTCATGTCAGTGAAGTATCTCCATCGGCTTGGAGCTTTCTTTGTGTATCAGCCCAGATGTTGGAATCAGGGCTGACACCATCATCAACATCCTGGCATGTCCCAGTGGGTCCGTGCAGGCACTCTGAAACGGTTTGGCACCCAACCCACCTCCAGCATGGATGCCTTATCTGCTCGAAACGCACTCCCTGTCTTCATTGAAGTGTTTTCAAAATTTACGACCTAAAAAACAATAAATACACGATCAATCATTGCTGCACAGCGCGGGAATCAATTAGTTTCATGCTGGAATGCAGGCCGAGATTCATTGGCCTTGAGGTATACGAAGGACACATCTACATTTGAATGAATGCTCGAGCAGGTGCTATGACCCTGAAAATTTCTGCAGGAAGCTGCATCGCTGATGATTGAAAACACAGAGGGGGTGACTCATCGAAAAGCAGTCCATGATTAAATTGCAATGGCCGCCGTGTTTCCATAGCAGGGCCGAGTCCGAGTCTATTTCACTCGGCAAACTTTGTCTGCCGCAGCAAGTGAAACAAGAAACGAATTGTGCAACGATGGGGTCTGATCCTCTTTCGCGACAGCCGGTTTAGAGTGACGGTCCTGCTACTCTTGTGAAATTACTACAGTTTATGCAGCAACTGCCAGTTCAATCACTATAAGTATGTGCATTTATAGCTATATAACCTTTGCAAAAATAGTCTGGCATTGTCTTGACTAGCGTTTTTTACGCGTGTCTGCCTTTTTGTTGGCTTTAAACCACAATGGTCGAGAAGAATTGGGCTGCAACTTGCTTCCCAAATGGTGTGCATCTGCGCCCGCTCCCCCTTGTGACATCATCGCGGCGAACATTTGTGCGCGTAGCAATTGTACTTGTTTCACCGCAACACTCTTCCGGTAGCTGTTTTGGATGCTAAGGATGGCCTGCATCTTCATCTTCTCCATTCGAACTTCAGCTTCAGCTTCAGCTACCTGCTTGGATTCACGCATCCCTTGAACTAGCCGACGTGCACACACCCCACGGTACAAAGCCTGGATCTTTGATGCAGCTTCTTCCATCTGCTGCTTCACTTTTCGAACAGTCCCGTAGAATGCAATCACTTTCATCACTCGCTGTGCCAGCACTCTGCGCCACCAGTGTTGTATTTTGAGGCAAGCAGTTTGTCGATCAGATTCTTCGATGTGCAAGCCATGCACGCAGTGGCGCAAATCCAAAAGCACGGTGTCAAGCTGGCGCTTGGCCAGCTGAAGCCGCTGCTGCTCCAAAATGTCCATCAAAGGTACCAGCTGCATTCTGCGCATCCCAACTCTCAACCACCAATTCTGCAACAAGCATGCTGCATCATGCTCACGGTGCCGTTGCATTTGGGAAGCCGTCCATTCTTCTTCTTCCATCTTGAAACCACTGTCATGTTGTTCGACTCGCGAAACTGCTGCTTCATGTCTCGCTCGGGTTTCTTCAAGGCGTTTCTTCGCGCTGGACAGCTCATGTTCAATGAGCGCCACTCCCAAATCTGCAAGTGGCCCAGCCATGTGCGATGCTAAGCCGCTAGGCGTTACCACATCGCACAATCCATCAGCAAACCCCGCCCTACCCTACCCAGCCGCGACACATATCCAAGCCACAGCTTCGGCTTTGATCCCTACACCACTCCAAGCTTCAACAGGGAATGTTCAACGCGTTAACTTTTAAGAAACTACTGCACGCAAAGGCAACAATTATTTTGTCTCGTTACATTTCACACACATGCTTGACTCCGAGATCAGCAAGGTAACCTACCAACTCAGGCGGAATGGTTGGTGAAGGTGTGCCCCAACTTTGTTGAACCGCATTTGCGTCGACCTTGGAGCTTTGCGCAATAACTTGTTTCCACCGCGACCAATGTGTTTGGCCAACACTTTTAAGTTACACCACCGCAGGCCCAAACAGATGGGACAACAACGAAGCATTCCCAAGTCCACCTTTTGAGACGTCAACAAGAAAGGGAGGCAAGAAGGGAGACAAAAGGAAACAGAAGGAAGACAAGACGGACACAATGACAAACAAGAAGGAAACAGAAGGAAGATAGAATTGAGACAAGGCGGACACAATGACCAACAACAAAGGAGACAAGAAGGCCAGCAAGAAGCGAGACAAGACCGGAGACAAAGTGAGACAGAAGGGTGACAAGGCGGACACAATGACAAACAAGAAGGGAGACAAGAAGAGAGACAAGAAGGGAGACAACACGGACACACTGACCCACAAGAAGGGAGACAAGACCGGAGACAAGGGAGACAAATGGGAGACAAGGTGGACACAGTGACAAGAAGGGAGACAAGACCGGAGGACCTCGGAAACAAATGAATAGAAATGCTACATGGCCAGCGGAAAAGGGCGGACACCAACAGTGAATAGAAGTGCTGCATGGCCAGCGGAAAAGGGCGGGCACCAGTGACAGACCGGGAGACAAATGAATAGAAATGCTACAAGGCCAACGGAAAAGGGCGCGGACACCAGCAGCGACAGACCTGGGAGACAAATGAATAGAGTTTCTACATGGCCAGCGCAAAAGGGCGGACACCAGCAGTGACAGACTGGGAGACAAATGAATAGAAATGCTACATGGCCAGCGGAAAAGGGCGGACACCGGCAGTGACACAAAGGGCGGACACGTCTTAAGAAAGAATTGAGAACCCCTAACAGTAAACTGTTGGTGGAAAATCAACCTTTTCTGCTTCAATGAGCCACTTGTCACTCAAGCAAGTAAATTTCAACACGTGCACTTGGAGTTTTTTGTAAAAAATATGCAAAACTTCTTCGTCGCTAGCTCTGCAGAAGTTTGGAATTTATTCTTGGACAAGTCCATCTCCCTTCTTACCATCGTCATTCGTCGTGCCATCATCTTCTTGGCAAGCTCTTGGTGATAGGCAACTTCGCCCACTTTTGAGAAGGTCTCATCCTTTCCTTCAGCCTCCATCTCCACAATGCCGAGGTACAAAGCCTCTTTGCGCGCAGGTCTGACACGTTCCACATTGTTGGGATGCCCTCCATGGTCAGCGTCTCTTTCCTGATCAAGTTGCACGTGTTCCAGGCGTCCAGCTCCAAAAGGCTCTACATGGGCTGCTATCGCTGATGGCTTTAATCACCACTGATCTCCTGCTCAAGAAATTCCAGAGATTTTTCACCTGGATTGCTTCAGCACTGCCACCAGCGGCCGCTAGAAACTCAGCCTCACATGAACTCAAGGCAATGCTCTTCTGCGACCTGGACCAGCTGGCGATCAAACACCCGTTCAAGAACATGAACGTAGAGCTCACGCTATGTCTTCTCTTCTTCGTTGAAGATTGATCACCGGCCCAATCACTGCCGCTAAAGTTCTCTAGAAAATATGGTCCATGAAGTTCTTCTGTTTGGCCAAGAATCTCTGCCTTCTCACTGCGGAATTTTTGGTATGCAAAAAAAACATACCGTTCAGTCCTCTTGAGATAGAGAGAGGATCAAATGTTTCACCTCAGACTCTGCCAAACTTGTTGGCTTGGCCATGAACTGCTCAAATTGCAAACGTTATGTCCCGGCTGATGTAAAGCAGCGTCCCCAAAGCAGACCTGAACCTGAATTGATCCTCTCCTTCAAGGCAGTCTTCCGGTGGTCCTTCAAGGCTCATCTGTGTGCTCTCTGGGGTGGCACGGCTAACACGATGTTCCAACTTGTAGAGCTCAACCAGGCTTGGGGTGTACTTCTATGACTCACAATTCCTTCGGCAGTGAAGTAGTGCCTCCTCTTCAAACATCGAATTAGTTCATCTTCTGGTTGATCATCTTGCAAAAGTATCCTAGGCTCACTGGGCACAAACTTGTTCCTCATTTAACAGACACTCCAAATCCCCAAGCTCTCCAGCTACAATCAGGTCATCAACATGGCAAACTGCTGCTAGCGCTCTTCCTTCATGCCTGAACAACGACGGCAGGCTCAAATGACGACAAAACCCAATATCCTCCAAGTGACTGGATAGGTGGTCGGACCATCTTACAGCAGCACCTCTTTGGCCTGGAAGGCATTTCAAAAGAGTTCAAAAGCGCTTAGCTCCATGGGGCAATGTCTCCACCTCCTCACCACCAATGAAACTTCTCAACCAACACTAGCTTCACCTAGTCCACGAGCAGAAATGCATCTTTCACATCAATGAAAGTAAGTTTCCATCAAAGGAGTGTGTGAACTGCGAGCAATAGGCGAGTGGCACTGACCGCAAAAGTCTTGGAGTTTGAACTGTCACCAGCACGGAATTTTCTTGCCACCAAACGGCCTCTGCGCTTCCAATGCCTTTCGAAACCTCCAGTCATAGCTCTTCAATTTGTTGCAACTCCACCGCACTCAACTCCGGAGGATGGCCTTCTTGTGTATCATCTACCTCCAACGAAGGCATACTGCTCTCAAAGTCATTGGCATAGTCTTCGACCTCCTGTTCCCATTGGTTTTTTTCCCCCTCGGAGGCGACCTGTCTTGGCGCGGGCGCTCTATGTACAGCCGGGCATTGCCGGCTCACGGCCGCAGGGGGAGGCGACTCGGCGCGGGCCCCCCCGGCGAGCGCCAGGATCTCCCCGAGGGGGAGTTCGGCGGGGCCAGTGGGGCAGGGTGGCGCGCGCCAGTCGTCCCCCAACAGCGTCGAGCACAGGGCGCGCTGGAGGGCGACGCCAAGAAGGCCCCACCAGCGGCGGCTCCACCCGGCAGCAGCAGCGGTGCGGATAGCGGAGGGGGCGCGCCGGGCGCGAATTCGGACGAGGCGGCGCACGAAGGTCAAAGACTCCGCGTTCCAGCGGCCACCGACCTCGCAGGCAAGAACGAGGAGCTGCTGCGGGCCTCCAGCTGCAAGCTCAGGGTACCGACGGCGTTTGCGCCGCTCAGCCCGGCGGAGCGCGACTCATCAACAGCCAACGCTGTCTGGTTCACGTTGCCACAAACTGCGGGGGGATAGAGGTTCGTTGGGCTACCTTTGGTTTTTTTCTCAAAGTTTTCCTTCTCGATTCCTCCACCTCTCCTTCATCAACCACAGCATCTTCTGCCCTCGGAGTTTGAGGCCTCTTTAGCTCTGGTGTGACTGGCGCTTTCACTCCAACATCATCTAAGCCGAGAGGAAGAGGAGGAGCTTTCACATACTTGTCAGCTGGAGCATCTTCATGGCTGCTTGTTGCTTGTCTCCTTTCTCCCTGTTTTTCCTCTCCTGGACTTTCTAAACCTCCGTGTTCTCGAGCACAACGCTCGACATCCTCTGCATCCTGATCTCGAGGTAGTTCACCTTCTGGAACCTCTAACTCTGGTTGCGTTGTTTCTTGCTTCTTGGGTCTGCCTGGTCCTCGAACTCCTCTGGGCACCATGGGTGTGGACGGCATGATCCTGATGGGTGGCCTCTTAGCTCGTGGGGCTTGTCCTTGACGAGGAAGGGGTATGTAGACCTCCATGGTTCACTTGTTCTCCTAACAGCCTTTCCTCTCATCACACCACCGACTCTAATAACCAAGCGCTGGTCATCTTCATGCGTTTTACCAAGGTCCTTGCTTTATCCCAGGCTGCCGGTGTAGGAGAAGGACATACTCTCCAAAGCAAACCGCCTTGCCAATGTAGCGACGACCAAAGGCAATTTCGAAAGGATTTGAGCTCAGAGCACTGCGAACTCCAAACCTGTTGAGAATCCGGGCTCCATGTAGGTATGCCCAGTACCATAATGAATGGTTCCCATCCAAATGCAGCAAACAACGGGGTTCGGCCATCTCCATCTATGTCGACGCCTGCTTTCGAAGTGTGGTGATTGCTCTTTCGACTCGGCTCGTCTGGCCTTCTTTCACGCTATTGGTGATGGTGGTCTCGAGTCCCAAACTGTGCCTAATAGCCTTCACATAGGTGAGCAAGGTCTTCATCGTGGGTTCGCTGTCGCCAATGATGTCCACATTTCCATGGTGGTTGAGGGAAGTGCGAAGCGAACCACATGTTTTGCTTGGCCTCTCGAATCAGCACCTTTTGAATCCACGGGCACTGACAACAGCATTCTTGTCTCGGCATCAACGCCTACCACGGCAACCACAAGATCTTCTTGACCTTGGCTTTTCTGCTCTCCTTCCAAACGAAAAATCCAGTTGAATTGCAAGGACACTCCTCCTTCCTTTCTCTGTAGTGTGGAGGAGTCGCTGAGGATCGCTCTTGCCCTTCAATGCCACACAGAAGTCACACCAATCTCGATAAGGCACTCGAGTGAGATCGTGAAGTTCTCTCTCTTCTTTGAGAAGGTTGTCGAGGAGCACGAACGGCCACCAATCCCTTGTGTCGGTTCTGTTCTTGGAAGAGGCGGTTGGCAGCCTCCTGGTTCAATCTCATCCACAAGGCTGCCTTACCTCCTCCACGTCCAAAGCCAAGAAATTCAGCTGCTTCACGCAAACTGGACAAAGAGCTTTCCTCCGTGAGCTCGAAACCGTTCACCACCAAGGTTCCTTTGTTGTCGAACCATGGCAAAGGACCTTCCCAATCTCCATCAGCATCTCGCTGATCCACCTCGTCTGGATGTTGCTCATTCCCGGGGTTCAGCTCAAGGGGCACCATTGGTTCCTCAGTTTTCTTCTACCGAAGTGGCCACCAATTCAAACTCCAAGCCAGCTGCCCGTTCATAGTTTTTGCTCTCGTAACTGAACCTCACAGGGTTGCCCTTTGGAGTAGCCTTCCAAGCCCTGAAACCGTAGTTCTCCCACAACTTATGGAGGCTCACCAATGTCTGGACAATCATGACCTCATCATCATCCAGACCCTTGCTCTCTCCAGGCTCATGTGTGACTCTCCTGATCGTCCCATAAACTGCCAAGGAGTTCTTCTTGAAGCAAGATGGGATCTGGCACTCCTGATCAGGCGCTTGTAGATGTACATCTGCCTCCCCATCTCCTGGGATCATCCTCCAGCCTCTCTGCCACAGCCGCAAAAGACATGAGAGGTGCCTGGAAAGTCCTCCTCGATGAACACGGCTTTGTGGGTGACAATGCATTCCACCTGAGCAATCTTCCTACCGAAGGTTTTCAGTCTTCCTCCTGGGGCGTCCTCAAGAATGGCCTTACCTGCAACCCTGGCTCGGCCACATGCTCCCACGCTTCTGGGGAGCAAGCTGAAACCTGCACCCGAATCCAGCACAATCAACATGCTCTGGGCTGCTTCCTGCACAGTGCAAATCTGGAAGGTCTCCACTTTCTCCATTTGTGCCCCGTCTAAGGCATACCTGCGAGCGGACGTGTCCAAGTACCCCACATCACCTTCTTCTGAGTCCTTTTCATGCATCACGAAGCTGACGGTCTGGAGTTGGTAGTGGTCATCGTACAGACAACTATCGCCACCTTCCCTCTTAAGGTCAAACACCACAGGGACCGCTGATCATTCCTAGGCGTCTCAAGGTGGTACATCCTCACTTGTCTCACCTGAGGTCTTGTGCTTGTAGTGTATGCTGTAACAGCCACCGACGAACCACTGCCTTGAGCACGGGCTGTGCCCTGTGCCGAACTGGCAATGTCACTCTCAGCAACTTGAGGGGTTTGCTCATTGATGTTGGCCACATTCTGTCGATTGGAGCGTTCGTTACCCCAATGTCCTTGTTGACCACAAATCCTGCAAGTGTTGCGGTCACTTCTTCCTTTGCAACCAAGGTTCTGCTTGCCCTTTCCTTTCTTGCCCTTCTTTCCTTTTCCTTTTGCTTGCCTTTGCCCTTCCGGTTTTTGCCATTGTTCTTGCCACCAAAGCCATATGGAAACCAGCCACCTTTGGGTTTGCCCTTGCCGTTCTTTCCACCTCATTTGTACTTGCCCTTGTTGACATAGTTAGTTCACGCTGTCAACATCCATTGGCGCTGGACTGTTGGGCTCAGGAGTTCTGAAAAATGAGAATTAGGTTTCTCCACTCCAAACCCGAGAGTCCTGATCAAATGTTCCTTCAAAATTTCGTATGTGACCATGTTGTCCAAGGTCAGCTCCCAATGCCGTCGGAGGTTGGGCTCGACACAACGAAAGACAGTGGACGCCACTAGTCCGATGCCAGCCTGTATTGCTCCAAGGGCAGGTCCATCTGGAGCAAATTCTCTAGCATGCTATGGTGGCTCATGATGGTTTGGCCAATGGCCATCGTGCGAGGTCTGGTTTTGGGCATGTACAAGTTGCCCACTCCTGCCAAGCCAAGAAACCAATTTTTTCTGTGGGTTCGGCCCTGATCAAGTGGAGGGCCGGGCCTTTGATGTATGAGTCATATGAGGCAAAGATGGAATAAAGCCAATGGCTTGGTTCTCGAACTTTTGATCCGAGGCCTCAATCTGGAGTCCCCCTACGTCAGCCAGTTCGTGAATGCTTCACGCCTTGAGTTTGCACCAACCCAGCTGTCGAGGAAGATCAAGGCTTGGCCCACACCGGGTCTCTTTCTGCATCTGCACCCCTTCACGCGCTGTCCCAGGATCATCCAAAGGCTCGCTCCAAGCAGGAAAGAACAAAGCAAAACTGGTAGTCCAAATAGATCATGCGTCAGCATGTCAACAAACTTCTCCCGGGCACTCTCGCTGAAGAAGGTTCGAGTGTAGTCTCCAAAGGCCATCAATTCCTTGGATGTGGTGTAGTTGAAGTTTCGCTTCTCAGTGTTCAGAGCCTTCTCGATATCCATGCTGTAGCTCAAGCCATTATAACATTCTGCATGAAAAAGTCCGGGTGCCAATCCCCGACTTGTCGACATTGGCCAAAGCCTCCAAGGTCAAGACCAGCTTCCCGTTGTCGACCTGAAAGCAACTCCAGGTTCCAATCCCCCACTTGGGCTGAGCTCGACTTGTCCCCCTTGTAGCTAGTTTTCTCGTCTTCACGCTCAGTCCCGGCAACTAGGGCACCAATCCCATCTTGGCTGCCCTTGGTGGCAACAATCCACCCATCATCACTCAACTTCTTGCCCAAGGGGTGCCCATCCTCTTCGGCCATGGGCTCACAGTCCCCGGTCACCATTTCCAAGTTCTTCACCTTCACGAAGTCGATGTTCACGTCCTCCTGCACGTCCGCGTTGTAAGCCTGTCGCTAATACATGGGCTCATCATCGTCCAAAGTAGTGCCAACGACATGGCTT